AACCAGCAACTTTGCACCCCCATCTTAGAGCCAAACACATGGTTCAGGACCATGGTGGGATGCAGAGAAAAATGGGGGTGAGACAAGACACAGCAGGCTGGAGCCTCAGAGCCTCGCCTCTCCTGCCTCCTCTCGGGGCCCTCCTAACCTCCATGCCTTGCCCCCCACACTGTGGGGGCTGGAAAAGCAACTGAAGAGAGGAGGTGCAATGTAGTCCCTCTGCATTGGAGGAGCAAAGACCCCAAGTCATGGGGCCTGGTACCATAGAGTTGCTCCCCAAAACAGCAAACCAGAGCCCCTGGAAGCCAACAGGGAGGAAAGGCCAGCTAGCCAGGTAGCGACTGGGGTAGAGCCCTCTGGGAAGAGGAGCTGCTGCACGGCTTTCGTCAGTAGCTGCACACAGGAATGGGAGCCAGAAAGAAACCTAGACATTTGGGTGGTTTGAGTCTGTCTGCTTGTTCCTTTGTTTTGTGGTTCTCGGGATCAGAGGCTGATGCACAGCTAGGAAATACTGAGCTGGAGCTCAAGCCCAGGGGCTCCCTCCTGAGCCTGTGCTTGTGGCCGCCAGGCATAGGAGCACATCACTAACAGCCTTTGTTCCAAGGACTGAAATCAGGGGCTCCTTCTGCACACAGAGGATGCTATGTAAGCCACCTCACTCAGCAGGTGTTCATTCATCAAAAGGCCCCCTGAGCACACACTGGCTGGGCTTTCTGCCGCCCGCCCTCCACACCTGCCACTAGCCCTGGCTGGATGCCCACTACCCCCACCCTGTGGGCCCCATGTAGCCATAACGAATGTGCTGAGGTACAGAAGAGCCACCCACCTCTATGCAAACTGGGGGACAGAAAGGGCCATGGAAGGCTGGGGCCAGCATTGCCTGCTTTCTCTCCTCTTAAAGGGACAGCCAGGCCCCAAATGCCCAAAGGCAAGCAGAGAAGGTCCCAGAGACAAAACATCAAGTCCTAAGGCTCCTGAGCCACATGTTCCCGATCCAGAGATCACTGTGGCTAGAGGGACCACTGAGGCCAGTTGTCCAAGAGGACCCTGCACACTTCCTAAGGCACACAGCAGGGCTACAATGGAGCAAGGGGTGACAGGAAGAAGGAACAGCCAAGCAAGGACTGTGGGGCCAACAGGAAGGAGCTCCCATACAGGATCACTCTGCAGAGTCTACGAAGAACAGGAAAAAGAGCCTGCAGGCTGGTGTCATAAACTCAGACCTCAGTGCGAATGAATACCAGAGCCACTGAGCAGGGCCCAGCCTATAGGTGGAGCAGCCCTTGCGGCCACGGTGCCCAGCCCACAAGTCCAGTGCCTGGCAGTTGTGGCTCCCAAAGTGAGAGCTTGGGGCCCAGAAACCAAAGATAACCATAGTGGGCCTGCCTTGGCCTGGAGCCTCCAAAAGGGAGCTGGCCATCACCCCCGGCCATCCACTCTCTGGCAAACCTCAAGGATGGCAGACACAGCGTGACCATCTATGGAAGCTCTGGCACCAGCCAATCAGGGCACCCTCTGCCAGTATGCCAGGCCATTTAGTTAGGGCTTGAGACTAACTGGTATGAGGACGTCTCACAGCCCAGGGACCTTGTCTCTTGATCCTCTTCTATTAAATCCAGAAGCTATATCCACCCCTAGTCTTCATCTGCAAACCCATGTCCAGGTATCAGGGCAGAAGGATTGAAACTTCACCAGCACAAACACAAAAGGCTTTGCTTTTCATCCCGAAGGTGGATATTTTGAAAATACAAAAGACATGAATAAACAAGATGATCTGTCAACAAATCCCCCCAACATACCCCCATAAAGACCCCTGCCTGTGCTTTCCAGCCTCGCCCACCAGCTGTGTGAGGCTTGGGGCCAAGGGGCATTCTACTTTGTCTCCCCCACCTGCCAGTGATATTTGAAGGCATGGCCACTCCTAACTCACCTCTGAGTGACACAGGCAGCCCCACCTGAGGGCTCATAGCTCCAAAAGCAGCTCTGCACCAAGCTGTGGAGGAAGGGGATTCAGGAGGTGGGAGTCAGAGGACCTCCCTTTATGGGACAGAACCAAAAAGAACAGGTGGGCAGGAGGGGGATAGGCAATGTATTCTCTCCCTCATGGGGGAATTTAACAGGCCCAATGAAGACCCTTCCTTCAGGCATGTACTAAAATGGATTCCTCCAGATCAGAACAGGACAGAAGACCTAAAAGTCAGGCCTAGTCCCAGCTCCAGGCCTCACTTGCTTTGATGACCCACTTATGAATGCAGTGATCATTTCCATCCCTGCCTACTTCAAAACCAACCCACACAAGGGATGCTCAGGGGCCTTGGAAATTGAGGATCCCAGGGAGGACCTGGCAGCACCCCTGTCCCCACATGGCCTCCTCCATAAAAGGCCCAAGATTACCCACTCTCAGAAGCCCAAGGGCCTCAAGGGAGAAGACGGCCCAGGGCCAAGGATCCAAGGAGGGAGAAGCTCTACGTGGCACCACGCCCGCACCTGTAGGCCAACTTGCTGCTCTCTGGAGCTCAGCTGCCATTGCTATGGGGCCTCCTCACAGACCCGGGGTCACAGCTCCTAGGCTCCCTGCCTCCTGTGAGGGGCGGCCCGACTGAAGCCAGACACTGACTCTGAGCCCAGGTCTGGGGCCAAGGGCCTGTCCATAGCAGTGCTAGAGACCACTCATTCCTCTCTGGGTCCAGCATCATCCTGGGGCCACACCCCACCCACAAGGAAGCTGAGTCCCTCTTCTTAACGCTGCTTCTGAGGGGACCCACGCTCTTATTTCCAGCTTTGGCCTGAGGATTCAGACACAGTATTGTTTGGGTTTGAAGAGACAGAACTGCTCCAAGCCACCCTGAGAAAAGTGGGTGGGTGGGCACCTCTGCTGGGTCCTGCCCGCGATGGTGGGGACCCAAGGAGGGGCTATGCTAGGCTCCAGTACCATCCCCCTGGAGGTGACTGCATCACCCCAAGCCCCCAGCCTCTTCATCCTGCCCCTACCCCCGCCAATGCAAACAGCCTATGCTGGTCCCAGGGCAACAGAGCAACAAAGCACCCTCTCTGCCTCCTGGGCCCGGCCCTCCCAGGGAGGAATCTGAAGACACCAGTGCGGGGGACCCCAGAACTCCGTCCCCCTCTGGCGTTCGTCTTGTCACCCGGAAAGCGGGGCCCTGTCTGGGCGGCCTCTTCTGCAGAGCCGGAGGACAGAAGGGAGCGGAAGGGTCTGAGAAGAGGCTGCAAGGCCGGGAGAGGACTCCTCGGTCTCGGGTCCGCAGGAGGCGGGAGCCCCTCGCCCCAGGCCACGTCACACCGCGCGGGGGAGCCCCACCGACACCCCGCCGCCGCCGCCCGGGTGGCCGCTGAGTGGAAAGAGAGGAGCGGGCGCCTGCGCCCCCCGCTGGCCACCCTGCTCGCCCGGTACCCCGCGCCCTCCCACCCGCTCCGCAGCCCGGAGAGAACGCACCTCATCTGCCTACAGCGCCCGAGAGCGAGCTGCACTCGCACTGGCGTCCTCGGTCCGAGTCCCTGCGCACGTGCCGGGGGCCGGCGCAGCCCCGCCGGGAAACACTTTCTAGCAAACTCCCAGCTGCTCCTACTCCAGACCTCCCCGCCCTGCAGGAACGCCCCTGCTTCTGGAAGGCTCCCCAGACTGCCGGCCGCTGCTCTCCCGCCAAGACTAGGAAGCCTCAGGCCCAGCCTCGGGTCTGACTCAGGCCTGGCCCTCCCGGGAGGGTACTGCAGCGGGACACGCCCACCCACCGCCCTTGCTGGCGCAAGCCTTCTTGACCTGGCCTTCGCTGGCACCAGGACGAAGCGTACCTAAGAAAGCAGGTGTGTAACAGGGAATGGCCCCTGTAGCCTAAGGTGGGGCTCTATAGAGTTGGCAGGGGAAAAAATCTGCCCGGTATCAGAGGCACCCAGTCTGGGCGCGCAAGACATCTCCTCTGAGTCAGCTGGGAGTGGCCGGGAGGCCTAAGGAAGGAGTGACCGAGCCCAGGAGATCATGTAAGCCGGATATCTCTCCCACCTCTGCTTCCCTCCCTCCCTCCCTAGCCAGTGCTCCCCCTACCCATGAATGGGGTTCTTATTTTGCTGGGAGTCACAGGGCACCTGCTGCGCCCATTTCTTAGGGCCAATTCTGAGGCCCTCGCCAGACGGATACAATTAGGAAAAGAGGGGGTGAGTGAGCCACCCTGTCCCTTCATTCAGCTGTGGGCACAGCAGCACCCTGGTGGTTATCTTGTTTAAGCTTAGAAGGTCGGGGGTGCCTGAGGTGACAGACTCTTAGTTCTACCTGTGAGAGACAGAATCGGAGGCCCCTGACATTAGAGGTGCCTGACCCTTGTAATATCGGGCAGTTCTTTCCTTGTGATGCACAAGAACCTTGACTATCTGGGTCCTTCAACTGTAACACGGTGGCCTCAGGAAAGGCCTGGGAATCTGCAGGCTGACCAGCACACGTGTGGTTCTTAAGGAGCAGGCTGCAGGGACCTTGGCGCACAGGGGCCCCTCTAGTGGATCCTGAGACCAAGAACTTCAGTTTAAATGGAGAGAAAAGACCCTGGCATGCCATGGCCCTGCTGCCCAAGGTGGCCTGGAGTCCAGCCCAGAGCCCACCCACTTTGAGAGCCTGCTGAGGAGTCACACAGTGAAACGCTGACAGGTGGAAATTTGACTTCCAGCTGAGGCTTAGGTCTCTGAGCAGAGGGCAAGGTGACACTTGGCTCTCTGGGCTGGAGCTGCTCCACTGCTGCCTGCCTCCCCACTGGGAGCCCTGGCTGGGTCACAGCAGCCTCCCAGGGACTCTCCTGAGCAGCAAGGAAACAGGAGTCCCAGTTGTGGTCACAGGGTGAGCCTTTGGCCCTTTTTAGGTCAGAGAGGAAGCAGTGCTGTGACTTCCCTCTCTGTCCTCTGTGTGTCATCTTCACACAGATCTGTGACATCAGACAGGAAAACTGAGCTGGAGAAAGTGAGTTAAACATGCTGTTTACATCAGTACATGTCACCAGCCGACAAGAGCCAACATCATCCGTGCTGCTGTGGATATATTAGTGACAGTCCCTCATGGGACATTCAGTGACTCTCAAACTGTGGCCAGCAGCAGCTATACCACCCACCCCACACAGAGCCCCTGGCTCAGTAGAGCGAGGGGTGCATGGGATGCAAATCAGGTCGGCCTGAGACACTGGTCTCCCAGTAAGGCTGCAGTCCCACTCCCAGGGGCAGGGAATGGGGACAGGCACTGTTTAGTACCACCTGGAGAGTAAAGATGGTACCCCATATCAGAAGGGAAAAGAGTGGCTCTCAGTTCATGCTGTTGGATCATGGTTTGAGGAAAAACTGTTAGATACCAACACATGTCCAACTTATTTTTTTAAATTTTTATCTTTATTAGTACGTGTTTGCAGTACACAATGATTATATTCAGTGTAGAGACCATGCACATATCTTAATTCTTTTTATGCCCTCTTTCTTTCCCCTCCCCCTTCATATCTTGGGCCCCTTCCCTTTTGCAAAAGATCTTACCTCCGTTTCCCATTATCTTTTTAAAAATGTTATTACCACATGTTTGCAGTATATGATTACATTCCTGCTAAGGAGCTGGTGCACATACGTAATACATGTTAATTCCCTTGCCACCCACTCCCCCATCTCTTGAGCCCCTATTTAAACAGGATCTCTATTTCCTATTATCTTTCACTTTGCTCTTTATGCATATTTAGGGTTTCTCCTGTAAAAGAAACCATGCAATATTTACCCTTGTGCCTCTAATTTATTTCATGTAACGTTATGGTCTCAAGGCGCATCCATTTTTTCTAAAAATACTCAAGTTTATCCTTCTGTATGGCAGAGTCCGTTGTGTGTAAATAACAATCTTTACCCATTTGTCTGCTGATGGACAACATAGGCTGCTTTTCAGATCTAGCTGTTATCAACAGTGCTGCTATAACATGACTGTATCATCATGATATGATGCCTTTAATTCCTTGGGGAAGATACCTAGAAAGGACATACCAGCATCAAATGGAATTTCTAGCCTTAGCTTTTTTGAGGGAAGTCGATACTGATTTCTATAGAAGTTGTGCTAGTCTGCATTCCCACCTGTACTGTACAAGGGCTGTCCCTCCACACATGCACTCCACCCTCTCCAACATTTGTGATCTGATTTCTTGATGATTCTTTCTGGAGTAAGATGGAATCTTAGTGTAGTTTTAATTTGCATTTCTCTAATCACCTGTGATGAGCATTTCTTCATGTATTTATTGGCCATTTGTACTTCTGACAAGGGTTATTCATTTGGGTTACCTATTTTTTTGATTGGGTCTTTTATTTTGGGGTGTCTATTTTTTGTGTTATGTATATATTCTAAATATTAGTCCTCTGCCTATGGAGTAATGATCAAAAAATTCCCCATCCTTTGTCTCTTGACTCTGTTGGTTGGTTCTTTCTCTGTGCAGAGCTTTCTCCTGTGGCATCATCCCATTTGTTGACTCTTGGCATTATTTCCTGTGCAAGTATGGTTTTGTTCAGAAAGTCTTTGTCTATGACTTTAAGAGTTTTACATATTTTCTCTTCCAGCAGATTGTTTCTGTTTTAACTGTGAGATCTTTGAGCCATTTTGATTGTAGGTTAGTACACACTGAGATATATAGGCATAGATTCAATCTTCTGCATTGGGCTAACCAGTTTCCCACCACCGTTTGTAGAGAGGTCACCTTTCTTCTAGTGTATACTTGGGGCACTTTGTCAAAGACCAAATAGTTGGCTTGCTTAGGATTTTTTCTGTGTCCTCTATTCTGGTCCATTGATCTACATGTCTGTTTTTGTGCCAGTACTATGATTATTTTTAAGTCACTGTAGCTTTGTAATGTAACTTCAAGTCTCACATAGTGACACCTCCCACTTGGCTTTTGTTGCTCAGGTTTGCTTTTTCTATTCAGGGTCTCTTTTGGCTCCATGTGAACTTTAAGATTTTCTCCAGTGCTGTGAAGAATGCTGTTGGTGGGGCTGGGGAGATGGCTCAGTAGAATAAGTGCTTGCCTGGCAAGTGCAAGGGCCTGAGTTCAATCCCTGGTTCTGAAAAAAAAAAAAAAATGTTGTTGGTATTTTGATTGCAATTGTATTGTATCCATTTGGAAGTATAGCCACTTTGACTATTTGGTTCAGCCTGCCCAGGAACAGGAAATATCTTTCCATTTTCTGATGTCCTCTTTGTTCTCCTTTCTCAGAGTACTGTAATTTTTATTGTAGAGGTCTTTCACTTTCTTGATTAATTTGTAAGTCTTTAACTTTTCTTGATGCTATTATAAATTGTACTATTGTCCTAATTTCTTTTTCAGTGAGTTCATTGTTAATGCACAAGAAGGCTATTGGTTTTCATGTGTTTATTTTGTATCCTGATACATTGCTGAATTTGATTATCAATTCTAGGTGACTTTTGGTGGAATTTTTGGGTCTTCTGTATAGAGGATCATGTCATCTGCAAATAATGATAATGTGACTCTTCTTTTCCTAAGCATAACCCTTTTATGTCTTTCTTTTGCCTAATTACTTTCCTAATCTTTGAATACTATATTGAGCAGGAATGGTGATAGTTGATATCATTTACTTGGTTCTGATTTTATAGGGAAAGCTTCCAGTTTTCCCCATTTAATAGGATGTTACTTGTAGGTTCGTCATATTTGGCTATTATCAGATTGAGATAGGTCCTGTTATACATATTTTCTATGTTTTTTTCATCATGAATGCCTGTTGGATTTTGTCAAAGGCTTTTTCTGCATCTATTGAAATGACTATGTGGGTTTTTTTTTTTTGCCTTGTTTCTGATTATGTGATGAATTACATGTATTGATTAGCATATATGGAGTCATCCTTCCATCCCTGGGATGAATCCTACTTGGTCCTGACGTATGATCTTTTTGGTGATTTATTAACATTCTGCTTGCCAGTATCTTGTTGAGGACTTTTGCACCATTAAAGAGGTTGGCCTTCCATTCTCTTTTGGTTGGATCCTGGTCTGCTTTGGAATCAGGGTAACCTTAGTTTACAGGAATGCCTTTGAGAGTACCCTTCTCTGTCATTTCCAGTAAAGAGCTTGAGTAGTACTGGTGTTAGATCTTCCCCAAAGTTCCTGTGGAATTTCACAGTGCATCCTTCTGGCCACAGATTTTCTTAGTTGGTTGGATTTTTTATTTGTTAATACTGTAGTTTGATTATTTGAGGATTTTATATCTTCTTGGTTCAGTTTTGGAGCTATAACTATATATCTATATACATCACATATACAGACATATATTCTCAATTCTCCAATTGATTAGTGTACAGATTTTGAAGTAGTTGCTAATAATCTGGAATTCAGGAGTGGCCATTGTGATTTTACCTTTTTCAGTTCTAATTGCATTTATCTGGGCCTTTTCTTTCTTTCTTTCTTTCTTTCTTTCTTTCTTTCTTTCTTTCTTTCTTTCTTTTTTTCTTTCTTTCTTTCTCTTTTGGTTAAGATTGGCTGAGAGAGCCAGGTGTGGTGGTGCATGCCTATAGTCTCAGTACTTGGGAGGCTGAAGCAGGAGAACTGTTGCAAGTTTGAGACCAGCCTGGGCTACAAAGGGAGCTCAAGGCCAGCCTGAACTGCATAGTGAGGCCCTGTCTCAAAACAAAGATTGACTAAGAATTTGTCTTTCTCAATTATTCTTTTGAAGAACCACCTCTTTAATTCATTGATCCTTTGTATAG